GCATTCACACAACTTCACTGACTACATTTATTATTTCTTGCACTGGACTGAACTACTTTACCATGTAAGCTGGTCACGCTGAAAATCCCTTTAGCTTAAATGGTTAAGGTGGTTTTGGAACTGCTCTAGTGACCTGAACACATTATAAGGTCACTAAAGACTAAAGTTCAAATCATAAGACTAACAGTGGGTCACTGAGCAAGACGCTTAACCCTCAATTATTCAGCTATAAGCTTGTAGTGAATTACGCCTCGGTTGTGAGATGTATTGGATAGGAGGATCTGCCAAATAGGGAAATAAACCGTGAAACTATTGTGGGTCTCAGTGTTTTTGATGTTTAGTTTTGAAAAAAATATGTCCTTGCAGTGTAAAAAATTATTTGAACAAGAATCTAAGAAAAACTAATTTAACTTGAATACCTTCAGCGCCTACCAAGACGTAGCCCACTGTGCCTGTACTAAGGATATTGAAAACATCAAACAACAAGTCTTAAACATTCTGGCTTTTTTCTGACCCATTTTGAGGTGCTTTCTACATGTTACTTGTGCTGACATTATAATGATGTTGCCTCTAAATCCTGAATGGTGGGACAATTTTAGTGCTATCCTCTTTTATGCCACATGGAAAAGTGTGGAATGGGTGAGTGCTGGAAAATACATAGATGCTTTCCTGATTTAATAAATATATGTTTTCAACTAAACCACTAGCTCAGGGGTGTCCAATCTTATCCGCAAAGGGCCGCTGTGGGTGCAGGTTTTCCTTCCAATGAAGCAGGAGCCATTCCTGATTCCACCTGTTTAATCGATTGATCTTGGCATTCAATACATTTACATTGACTTGGCATTTATTCACTTGGCAGACGCTTTTATCCAAAGCGACTTACAAATAAGCAAAGCGATATATCAAGCTGGGAAAAATACAAGTAGTACTACTATACAAGATCCATTAATTGAATACCAGAGGAAGCAAAGTGTACAGAGTAGAGGTGTAAGTGCATTGTGTGTGGGGGTGTTTTGTTTTTTTTCTTTAGGAGTTGGTTAGGTGTTCACGGAAAAGGTGGGTCTTTAGCTGTTTTTTGAAGATAGTGAGAGATTCTGCAGTCCGGATTGAGATCGGAAGAGCATTCCTCCACTGGGGAAAGGTATGCGTGAAGGTTCTGGAAAGGGACCTTACGCCTCGCTGAGTGGGAACTACTAAACGTCGGTAGCTAGTCGATCGCAGATTGCGAGAGGGAACGTAGGCCTTCAGGAGAGAGTTGAGGTAGGAGGGTGCTGTTCCTGACAAGGTCTTGTAGGTGAGCATCAAGGCCTTGAACTTGATGCGGGCAGCTACAGGAAGCCATTGGAGGGAGATGAAGAGGGGTGTGACATGAGTAGTTTTGGGCTGGTTGAAGACAAGGCGCGCTGCAGCATTCTGAATCATTTGAAGAGGTTTGATGGAGCTGGCTGGGAGGCCTGAAAGCAGTGAGTTGCAGTAGTCCAGTTTAGAGATGACAAGAGCCTGGACTAGTATCTGTGTAGCCTGTTTGGTGAGGAATGGTCGGATTTTCTTGATGTTGTACAGGATGAACCTACAGGACCTTGCAGTTGCTGAGATGTGGTCTGTAAAGGTCAAGCCCTCATCAAAAATCAGTAGACTCAGGTGTGGGTTCTGCTTGGTTGGAATGAAAACCTGCACCCACATCAGCCCTTTCCAGATAAGATTGGACATCCCTGCACTAACCTGTGCCACCATTTGTAATGTTTACTGAGTATTTAAGGGAAGAAAAAAAAAACAATCAACTCTGGTTTTAACAGTTCAATAGCATAGCAGTGTTGTATAAAACCAATGAAGAAGGTCCTCAGGGTTTCCCCTCTCTGTGAAGTGACTTTACCCTTGTCAGTGTGTAATTCCCTCACACAAAGTGTTCATTCACCCCATAACAGGCTTTTTCTTTCACCCTTTAATCCTAAACATTTTATGGTGAGCTTAGGGTTCAGAGTCTGACACCACAGACAAGCTGGGACAGGTTAAGATCTGGCAACAAGGAGACAGGAAAGATCTGATCATGTCCATAGGGAGAGTGTGAGTCACGTTGAAAATGCACTGTGTAGACAAGAATGACGAGAATTTTTCTTGCTTTTTCTGCAACAATATACTTATCATCTCAGATTAAGTAGTACTTTTTTAAAATAGTAATTTAACCTGATAAAATTTAACCTGTCTCTTACATCAACAGCACTTGAGACCTTCTTAACAGCTCTCATAAGACAAGAGATGAGCCAAATGCCTCGTGGAGTCTACCATTTAGCCCTGAGAGGTGGGAACTTGCGCTCTGACCATGGCAAAACTGTCGCTGGAGTCCCTGCCTTCATGCTGAAAACGTATGAGAAGAACAAGCAGCCAGGTCTGAAACCTGGTCTCGCAGGTACTGACACTGGGGCTCGGATATCATTAAAGAAAAGCCCACACTGATCAGATACATGTTTAGAAAAATTTAAACAACAGTCAGTGATGTGTTCCTTTTTGATTCTGTAACTAGCAGAGAGTCTACCCCTTGCACAGACAGTGCTCAGGAGCTCTTTAAATAAGAACAGCAGGCTTCAGCAGACCTTTGAGTTGTAATGACTTGTTTGTTTCAGCCGGTTTGCTGCTCTGTTACGACCTCCCTGTCCAGACGGACAGAGACGGACGACCAATTAGCCGCTTCATGGTCAGCAGAGGGCGGAGCTTCCAGCAGATGTTAACCACCCTCATCCATGAGGTAGGACACCTGTTGCTTTTATTTATATATATAGTATCTCAAAAGTGAGTACACCCCTCACATTTTTGTAAATATTTCATTATATCTTCTCATGTGACAACTCTGAAGAAATGACACTTTGCTACAATGTAAAGTAGTGAGTGTACAGCTTGTGTAACTGTGTAAATTTGCTGTCCCCTCAAAATAACTCAACACACAGCCATTAATGACTAAACCGCTGGCAACAAAAGTGAGTACACCCCTAAGTAAAAATGTCCAAATTGGGCCCAAAGTGTCAATATTTTGTGTGGCCACCATTATTCTCCAGCACTGCCTTAACCCTCTTGGGCATGGAGTTCACCAGAGCTTCACAGGTTGCCACAGTAGGACTCTTCCACTCCTCCATGACGACATCACGGAGCTGGTTGATGTTAGAGACCTTGTGCTCCTCCACCTTCCATTTGTGGATGCCCCACAGATGCTCAATAGGGTTTAGTCCATTACCTTCACCCTCAGCCTCTTTAGCAAGGCAGTGGTCGTCTTACCCTGAGTAATAAAACATGACACACATCAGCTTTGGGGTGTTAACAGTATCTCCTCCTCGCTTTGTGCTACACTTCACTGCCCTGTCATTGATTATCTCCCTATAACCGCATGCCCCATCATGTTTATCCCTTAAACAATAATCCTATGTCTTCTATAGGCTTTAATCCAGATTGAGTAAAATTGTGACAGGAACCTTTTTTTTCCCCCTTGTCGCTTCAGGGAGCTCTGGCTCAGCAGAGAGCCAATAAAATAGAAAATTAGCATTTCGGTTCAGGTTGAAATTTGATTGTGAATTAGGTGTATTATTGCTTTTGCCAGCAGGTCGTCTGTGTCACTATCAGAACTGAGAAAGTATCAGGTTAGGTTTAGGATTCTCACGCACTGACACTGCTGCCTTCATTCATTTCAGTTGTGTCATTTAGAAATAATTTAAATCTGATGTGTAAATCCACCATAGCAAAGCGTAAATACACTCGTTTCAAACTATTATATCCAATTCTCATGGTTACATTTCAACATGATTTAGAGCTATGATAAAATTTTTGATCAAATCTACTTTAAAGGGATCGCAGTTAATGGAAATTAATGCACGTCTTTCAGCTACTCAGAAAGCTTGTATTTTCTGTGGCTTTACTGTAATGATGATAAAGAACCAGAAGAGTCTATTTACAAGCACTGGCCACTTTAATAGGAAGACTTAATGGTTTCTTCCTCATATCTTAGGGAGTTTTTCCTTGCCACCATTGCCCTAGGCTTGCTCATTAGGTAAAAATTCACACAATTAAAATTTTTTTAAAGCTGCTTTGAGACAATGTCCGTTGTTAAAAGCGTTATACAAATAAAATTTAATTGAATCTATACTCTTGCTCATTCGTGCAATTATCCAATTGCATAGAGTCTACAGTAATGCAAATAATCACTCTTTACAACTATGGAGAACAGAAAAGCATCATTTGGTCTTTTTCAGATCCTTAACTGCAGAGTTTCGGTGAACCTGTGCCCACTCTAGCCTCAGATTACAGGTTTTGGCAGACGTGAGTGAAACCCCATGTGATTTCTCTGCTGTTGTAGCTCATCCAGCTCATGATTTGGCATCTTGTGCAAAATGCTTTTCTGCTTACCACGATTGTAATGAGTGGTTATTTGAGCTACTGTAGGCTTCCCTGTCAGTGCAAAAGCAGGATGGCTATTTTACTCGTATCTCTCGCGTCAGCAGGATGTTTTGGCCCACAGAACCTTTGCTCAGTGGATGTTTTTTGTGCTTTTTTTCACCATGCAAAAGTCTAGAGACTGTTGTGTGTGAAAATCACAGGATATCAGCAGTTTTTAAAATACTCAAGCCAGCCTGTCTGGCACCAGCAACCATGTCACAAACAAAGTCACTGAGGTCACACTTTTCTCTATTCTCTACTCTCCATTCACTCTCTGGAAAAATGGCTTAGAATCCTCCAAGCCAGTAACTTATTTAGCAATGTCCATCCTTCCATCTATTCATTTTCTGTAATACATATCCTACACAAGGTCGCAGGGAAGCTGGAGCCTATCCCAGGTACGTAACTCTGGGCACAAGGCATGGGGGCATGGGGATATAATCTCACACACATTCTCACACTAGGGACAATTTGGAAAGGCCAGTAAGCTTACAACGCATGTCTTTGGACTGGAGGAGGAAACCGGAGTACCTGGAGGAAACCCCCCAAAGCCCAAGGAGAACATACAGTCTGTGCACAAGTGGCGGAGGTGGGAATCGAACCCCCAACCCAAGGGGTGCAAGGCAAACATGCCTACCACTAAACCATCGTGCCACCCTATTTAGCAGTATTTCTATGTTAAAATGTCTCTATTATATATTCGAAATGTAATTTTACCTCATATCTCTTCATGTCACTTATCTCCCTCTCCTTCTGTCTCTCTGTCAGGTGAACATCCAGCCTTCAGAGTGGCACCGCTCCCTTCTCCTGCCTCAGGCATGGCGCGGCTTTTTGAGCCGGGCATACCATGCTGTCCTACAGGTGTGTGCGTGTATATATGTAAGATGACACATTTGTGTTGTGTTTGGACCTCTTTGAGTTGATCTGTCAGTACTCCATCAAACACGTTCCTAAGCACACTCACAGAACCATACCAACTGCAACATCAAAGAATCAAATATAGCTGAAAGCTGAGTATACCTCCAATTGCATTTAATTACCACTCAGTGTCATCAGGTAAGAGGAAAGCTTTCAATGCACCAGCACAGACATGAAAGGGTTTTTCGAGTATGTGAAATGCCTACAGATCCTCTGTTGTCAAACATTTGTTCTTCATGAAAGGTCACTGTCGTACACTCGGACTGCACATGTTATGATTAAATTCACATTTCAATAGCAGCCTGTCGAAGACGATTTCTAAATCCAGTGTATTGATTATTATGAGAGTAGTAGCCCCAGGGTCTGGATTTACAAAGCATCTCAGACTAGCAATCTTGCTTGAGGATTCTTAAACACACACAAGTGCTGCTGTCTTATGCAATTTTTAAAACCCCATCTGCTGCTTTATAGACTCTACTTGAGCTATAAGCTTTGTAGCTCATAATATTGCTCACCCATCTGCTCACTGATTGCCCACTAGACAAGGAGAAGGGGCTTCTAATGGCTCACTCTGCGATGCTTGAGAAGCACTTGTTCCATGTGTTAAGCTTATAGTCAACATCTTACATCAGGGTAATTAATGAGTTTGTTGTTTGCAATGGATTCTGTGTTTGTTGTGGTGATTACTAAGATCGGCGCTCCCTTAGGGGCGTAAAGCCGAGCTGGAGATGCTGCAAAAGCAAGGGAAAGAGAGTCCTGAGGAGCTGCAGTATAAACAGCACTGCGCCTGGCTCTGGTGAGTCTGTGATTGTGCAACACACACACATGCACACACAGCATGAATGACTTACTTTCTCCATGCCAACTTCATTCATTTCCATCCATTATACCTAACATTAAGCCTTCTTATCTTTATCTCAAACATTCAGGGCAGGCTGACTTTCTGGAACTTGTGTGTTAAGAATTCTTCCCATGATTGAGCTGTACCTGCTGTTGCGATTCTAGAAGCAATAATGTATTAATCCTGTCTAGCTTTTTTATTTTATTTTTTATTTTTAAGTCAGTAATTGCCACTTTCATTAAGATTTCTGTTCCCTCTGTTTGCGAGTTGATAAACTCTCCAAAAAGGGGGGAAAAATACATCGTGTATTTGTAGTAGAGGTTTCATTAGGCATATATTGCGGCATATATAGTACACCGAATAGGTTATAGATCATACATCAATCAGCCACAACATTAAAACCACCTGCCCAATATTGTGTAGGTCCCCCTTGTGCCTCCAGAACAGCTCCGACCTCTGAAGGTGTGCTGTGGTATCTGGCACCAAGACGCTAGCAGCAGATCCTTTAAGTCCTTTAAGTTGCGAGCTGGAACTTCTCCATAGATCAGACTTGTCTGTCCAGTACATCTCACAGATGTGCAATCAGATTGAGATATGGGGGATTTGGATGTCAAGTCAACACCTTGAACTCTTTGTCATGTTCCTCAAACCATTTCTGAACAATTTTTGCAGTGTGGCAGGGCACGTTATCCTGCTGAAAGAGGCCACTGCCATTAGGGAATACTGCTGCCATGAAGGGGTGTACTTAGTTTGCAACAATGCTTAGGTAGGTGGTACGTGTCAAAGTAACATCCACATGAATGCCTGGATCCATAGTTTCCCATTAGAACATTGTCCAGAGCATTACACTGACTCCACTGCGTTGCCTTCTTCCCATAGTGCATTCTGGTACCATATGTTCCCCAGGTAAGCGACGCACAAACATCCGGCTGTACACATGATGAAAATACACCATGAACAGCTCACGTGCCCATTGTAGGCACTTCAAGTGGTGGACAGGGGTCAGCATGGGCACTCTAACTGATCTGCAGCTACACAGCAACATACAAAGCGAGCTGTGGTGCACTGTGTGTTCTGACACCTTTCTATCATAGCCAGCATTAACTTTTTCAGCAATTTGTGCTTCAGTAGCCCTTCTGTGGAATTAGACCAGACGGGCTAGCCTTCACTCCCCTGCGCATCAATGAGCCTTGGGCACCAATGACCTTGTTGCCAGTTCACCGGTTGTCCTTCCTTGGACCACTTTTGTTAGGTACTAACCACTGCATACCGGGAACACCCCACAACACCTGCTGTATTGGAGATGCTCTGACCCAGTCATCTAGCCAGCACACTTTGGCCCTTTGTCAAAGTTGCTCAGGACCTTACGCTTGCCCATTTTTCCTGCTTACAACACATCAACTTCGACAACTGACCGTTGACTTGCTGCCTAATATATCCCACTCCTTGACAGGTGCCATTGTAAGAAGATAATCAATGTTATTCACTTCAGTGGTTTAAATGCTATGGCTGATCAGTGTATTTTGCTATACCTTTTGTATTGAGCATATACAGTATATTTACTAAAAGCCATTTGTGATTAAAAAATTTTAAGGAATGATGCACTGTTAAAAGAATTAACATGGATGCAAAATTTGCAGCAGCTTATTATGTGATGTAAGTTAGTTCACATAACGTTCTGTTCTTTAATGTTATGCATGTATGGCACAATGGATTTATTTCCCATCTGTAGCAGGTGTATCAGGTGCAAGTGTGTGTGTGTGTGTGTGTGTGCGTGTGCGCTGACCTTGTGAGAACATGTGGCCTCACAAGAATCGCAAACATTTTTATTTATTTATTTATTTATTTATTGTTTACAAACAAAAAACAACACCAAAAAAACACCCTAAATTAGGGTTGAAGATGAAGATCCTCACAAGGAAAAACTTGTGTGTGTGTGTGTGTGTGTGTGTGATTGCACGTGTTGACAGGGTCACTAGACTAGATCTGGCCCCAAAGACAGAGGTGCCTAATGAAGAATGGCTTAGGTTGTAGAGTAATGGGAATTTGTAGAGAAGAGGGGTGGGGGCAAGCTGGTGGTGTATTTGAAGTAGTGTGCAGTGGCGTGTTACCTTGACTCTTAAATCATTGCCTGTAGGGATGAAAGGTTGACCTGTGTGTCTGCACTGTGCAGTAAATCAGCTCTCCTTTGCTCTCTCCCTCTCTTCAGGGTCAGGGACCAGCTGACTGATGTGGTGAAGTCTGCAGCCAAGTGAGTAACAGAGGCTAATGCCGTCCTTCCCCCCTCTAATAAGTTCTTTCTGTAATCCTCATTAGTGGCCCGGTTCTGAGTTCTAAGGAACCCCAGGCATAAATTAAACCAACTTTTAGCCTTAAGTGAGGATTTTAATAGTGAAATCCCATTAGCCAGACAGAGGTGTCAGTCTAAAATAAAATAATGCACTCTAGCAAACACATGCTGGCTTTAAAAGATCAATTAAATGAAATCTCAATTTCAGAACAAAGACAGATGGGTATATCCATAGTAATTAGACACAAGGTCATAGTTTGTCTGACTGGTAGTCAGGGGCAGTTAATCAGACTGTGTGTTTGTGTGTACATGTGTGTGTGTGTGCATGTTTGTGTGTGTGTGTTTCAGGGACAGTCCTGTGGTGCAGGGAAACTGCATCCTTGCTCTAAGTGGTCTTGCTGTTGTCCTGAGCCGCCATGAGAGCAGCCTTCCTGCCCAGAGTGATGGACAAGTCGAGGTAAAGAAACTATGTTGATGGATCCAGAGCCGAGCCAGAGGTGGGAAAACACCCTGTATGGAATATCAGGATAAACATTTCATTCCAACCTCATTTGGTGTACTCTACTCCACTATAGGTGTAAACATCGATTTTTAATGTTTCAGTTATATTATAAGGCTGTGTGTAAACCAATAAAGCAAAGACATTTGGTATTACATGGTGACACTCGTGCATTTTGTGCCTGCAGGTTGGTCCAGAGATCCTACCCACTGCCCACTGGCTGTATATGGTGATTGACACTCTCCTTAGCATCGTGAGCAGCAGCAGTCGGCCCAAAGGACAAGTTTTCCCCTGGTTTGTTCATGTAAGTATTGCACCAATTCTCCATATACCAATTAACCACTCATCATTTACATAAGGAAAGCTAATGTAAAACTAGTTAGAGTCCCTTACGAAACTATTGGAACGGCAAGGCCAATTCATTTGTAGGTTAATTATACTAATCTATATTAATTGGGTGCTCTGATACAAAAGGGTCTATGTTTTATGTTGATAAACATTTCCAGGAAATACCTGTAAACACTAAGAATCCTAAACTCATATTTCATATGTCTTTGGTGTACAGCGCAAACAAATGCATTGAACTTACTGTTCCTGTAGTTTTAGAGGGGACTGTATAGGAAACATCCTATGAATAATATAGAGATGCAAGATAAAGGAAAATGATGTAGAAAAGCAGGACAATCTTGGCAAAAATATATTGGCAATAAAGAGAATTTTCAAAATCCAAATCCAGTAAATGACTAGGGAAAAAAACAAAATTCCTCTGACACACAGTGTCAAGTTACACTCTCAACACAGCAAATCATAATGTCAGTTGGGTCTGTTACTGTATAACACAGGAATAAAAGCGTATAACTGACACCGGTCTCTTTTTCTCCCGCTGAAGCGTTCATACTCTGGCGAGAACACAGCCAGTGCCATTGCTCGCTCCTGTGCTGCATTGGGCCTGGCAATGCTAGTTCCTGTCCTGGTCACCTCACACAGGGACGCAGTGCCCTCAATACAGGACACTTTACAAGCAGGCCTGCCCGGTGTGCCCACTGCAGACGACTCTCAAGCTGTGCAGTTCCACAGCGGCTTGGCATTAGGTATGCTGATGGCCT